CACTGATACCAATGATGGGGCACTATTCCTGCCACTGATACCAATGATGGGGCACTATTCCTCCCACTGATACCAATGATGGGGCACTATTCCCCCACTGATACTAATGATGGGGCACCTATTCTCCCCACTGATGCCAATGATGGGGCACTATTCCCCCCACTAATGCAATGATGGGGCACTATTCCTCCCACTGACACCAATGATGGGGCACTATTCCTCCCACTGACACCAATGATGGGGCACTATTCCTCCCACTGGTGTGCATTGGAAGAGGGGTAGTCTTATACGGCGAGTATAGCACAAACACTACATTTTAGCAGGAAAAGTAGGGGGTCGTCTTATACGTCCAGTCGTCTTATACGCCGGCAAATACGGTAGGTGTTTATAATATCCATAACTTTCCATTAACTTAACATAATTGGTGTGCAAGTGTAACACTGCAATAATTTCCCACTTTGCTTCACAGATTTATGAATGTTTGGTGCAGTAGTTCTTGCAGTAGCAAGAACATACTACTTTTTCTTTTGACTGGTTATATTGGTTATCTGACAAAAATAAGACCATATAAAAAAAGCTAACAACCACTTACTACTTCCAATCCTTGAGACTCTCCTGTCCCCATATAAAAGTAAAATAAGATGTGTGATGGGCAAAATAGAAGATTCTTTGGGAGTTTTACACCAATTTACAGTAAATGAGATTCAGATTCCTCAGCACCCCACAAAAAATTTGCTCGAATTTTGCTTTATGGTACATATATTTTCTCCAGCATTATTAAGCAAATTCTGTACATCATAACCTTTTTTTGTACGGTTTATTATTTGCTAGTTAGTGTATCTAATACATAATCTTTTATTTGATTGTAGATAGATTAGGTAATGATTAAAACCTATGTATGCATGTTTGTTTTCTTGTTTTTTCCTTGTCTGTATCCTTTTGAGGAAGATTCCCATTTTTTCCTGTTCGTCTTCTAACAGGAAATGAGGAAGTCTCTCCAAATGGGTGCAACAGTAAAATGTTTGGATTTTCTGACTTTCTGTCAAGGTGACAGTGATCCCCAGGACAAATGAGAAGGGATGAATGGCAACAGTGAGGACACAGACAGCAAGATAAACCTAATGGAGGAATATAGCACTTCTGTACTCTGTTCATAACCTAAAAAAATATGCTAATTTAAATAGGTGCAGGGGACACAGTGTGCCTTTATTTATCCTGTTTTCCTCCTGATGTTTTTCCTTTGTGCTTGGTGGCCCAGGTTTGTAAACTCTGATTGCTTGGTGCCATGTTTACTTTTGCTTCCTTGGCTGTAATGATTCATATCAGGAGGTCCCACATTCCCCCCAAAAATCCTTAAAATATAGGAACAACGCGTTCTTATGGGTGAACTCTAGGACCTGGGTAATTCCGACTGAGCTTAAAATAAAATAAGTGAATAAGGAGAAGTTTTACTCAATGAAAACTGCATGTTAAAAAAAACAATGTGCAGATATAGAAATATAGGTAACTGAATTTTTAAACAATATTTTGCTTTTCTTGCAAGGTTTGATCTTGACCTCATCCCCTCCGGGCTCTCGAGCCTGCCTATGAGGCTCTCAGTGAAGCCACCTATTGCATTAAAGTACCTATAAGTCCAAGTTGTGCCAGAAGGAGCAAAGCAAAACTTGACATTTATAAGGCACTCCCAAGATTTTTTACCTCCAGTGCTTTTCTTTCTACATCTCCTGATATTTAAATAAATTGTTTACATGCATTTTTCACACCTTACCTCACTTTACCACAAATAGTAATGTGCTGTGCCCTGCAGTGTCATTTATTTTGACAGTAATACAGCAAAAGCAATTTTTCATACGTTGAAGACCCACTCATTTAAATGTATTGGGTTGTAGTAAAATAGCATGCCACAACTCACGATAAAGCATGTTACGGCACATGCTTTACCAAAACACAGCCTGGTGTGAATGGGCTCAAAATGCGACATCTGCTTTTGCTTAGATTTTATGATATGAACAGTCTAAATTGCCCAGGTTTATAACAGATTAAATTTAACAGATTTTACAGCATGCTCAGGATTTCTTTTTCTGCTAACTGATGCTACAGAATTTTGTAAGATCTTTATCTTCTCTTTTGATGTTTGAATAATGGCTGTTTTATTCCATTAATGCCCATTTCATTCCCTGCTATGTTTATCAGATGTTCTCAGATTTTAGTATGTAAAAATGCTAATTTTTTATGTTGTCTATAATATAGTTAAGAGCTTCACACATTTGTTTTGTAAAGTTGATTAGATGGAACCAAAGATCCTACTGAGCTGCAGAAAGGTTTCATTTTTAGAATTGTACTTGACCTAAAGTTGCCCAGTCCAGAATCAGAGACCACTTTTAAGCATACACATAAAATGAAATCATGGAAGCAAGCCATGGCAGCTGTTTTTAACACACATTGATGGCTGGATGGATAATTTACTGTGTGTCAGCACCATGTTTCTCTTGCACCTCAACATCTGTCTTCAATTGCTCTTAGTGCCTGGCTTTCCTCCACTTCATTTCAAGCTGACCATTCTCCAATAAACTATGAAAACGTTTTTTTGTTTTTTTTTAAGAGCAGTTAACCACTGTGCAAGTTCATCGTTAGTTTCAGCTATACTGTATGTAAATGACAGGTGGAACATGGGACAAGATATGAATCCTCTGAGCCAATGTTTTATTTCTTTTCTAAAGCAGCTGGACCCACTCCAAATGTCTCCCAATTTGTATTTATGAATGTGTACACAGTGAAAGGATTTTCCGGTTTCTTTGTAGAAATGGGGTAAAGGAAGGTATACAGGAGACATTTGAACCATATCTTTAGCAAACTTCATTTTGCACAGCTGGAGATATGATAACATTACTTAAAACCTAAGGTCAAAGAGCCTATCTTGTACTTGGGTGCCACGTGTCAGTGCCTAATGAAATTTGATATTCATATTCATTTAACAACTTTGATTATGCTCCAATGCATAAAACCTGTTTATGAGCAGGAGGCTAAGTCAAATGGAGCACAGGTTTATAAAGTGTGTAGGCAAACATATTTCTTAATCATGCATTGAGGAACACAAATTCAGGAATTCTGGAACAGTCAGGATATATGGTGCTGCCTACAGGGGTCTTGAAGGCTTTTGAGGAACGCCTTCTCTTTTGACCAGCTGTTGACATTGTCTTTATCAACCTCTTGGGCTGCCACAGTATGCTTGTAATAGAGTGCAGGAGATTTTCAGAAAGGTTAGCAGAGCATCTATGGTGTATTAACACTCAGGACTGGATTTACCAGGGCACGGTCGAAGTTGCAGTGGAGCCCCCTAAACTGGAATACTATCATAGTAGATCAACGTCTTTTTCATTGAGAAACTATATGCCAAGTAACCAAAGGGATATTGGCTTGCCTTCCTACTTTACTGCGCTCCTCAGGCTGATGTAATGCCATGTTGCTAGAGTTGAGCTATATAGATTCACAATGATGCCCTATTATTGAAAGAATGTTATATTTTAGTAAGTGGGAAAGCAATTCTGAAAATACAAAAGGACAAGGACACTTCCCTGGGGCATCCCCAGTTGCATAAAGCAGCCTTTTTCAACCAGGGTGCCTTGAGTTTTCTTCAGGGGTGCCTTGGTAAAATGTCTAAAAATTGCCCAAAACTTGTCTACAAGCCAGTGGGTGGAATAAGCCTGCTTTTTAGTTACACAAAGCCACAGGTTTCATTGTGCAACTTTATGACCTTCTATCTGTTGGCATCCTGACAACCAATGACATCATCAATTGATAAGGAGGATGTCAGTTGCCTGCACAGCATCCTTGCTTGACCCTCCCATGCCCCCCTCCATCACTGCTGGTGTCACATTAGCTCAGTGACTGAGAAAGAGAAACACTGGAATTCTAGTCAGTACCAGTGTGCAAAAGTGTATTTGCTTTGGAAGAATAAATCGCCTTGAATGTTGGGTGTCCTATGCGTGTAGATTTTGCTGGGGTATATAAAAGTATTAGAATATTTTTTTTTGCATTTTAGAATGGGGAGCCTCAAGACTGTCCTCAATTTTAAAGGGTGCCATGGGACTGTTCATAATTTGAGGGTGCCTTGACTGCAAAAAGGTTAAACACTGGCATAGACCATGAAGAATTAAACATAAAATTAGCTAAAACCATAGGTGTGTTTTTCATTCTACTTTATATTGGCTTTAAAAATAACAAATTAAGCTATACAGAGGTTTAATAAAGGGTTTAGTACAGTTTGCAAGTTAATTATTGCATTATAGCGGTCTATACAGCACACCAAAAAGATGGACAACAGGGCAAGAAAAAAGACATATGATGGGGCTGTCCATTTGCAATAAAATCCCTCTGTGGAACAATTGAGAGCAATTGTACAACAAAACAATTGTATTTCCCCCAAAGTGAACCTTTGTTGGCATGGTAGTATGTGGTGCTGTGTGCTATTATGTTGCCAGGGTATGCTCAAGCTGATTGTATGTTACCCCTAACGTAATGCAAGTGTGGCTGCAGTGTGATGTTGCCTTTAAGGTGTTACACTGCCCGCTGCCACCCCAAACCACTCAGGTCATTAAAAAAGAACCGAAATAGGCAAAAAAAAAATCACCCTTTAGTATATCACCCTACACAAAACACTAAACAATTAATACAATTGTGAAAATCCTTACCATTTAGCAGAAAAGGCTAATTGAATTTTCATGACCTCATCTCTGCTATTCAAAAGATAACAGAATCTGCTCTGCCAAGGAGGAGGTGTATGTGCAAGGATTACATCATATCCTCTCTCTCTGCAGTAAAAGGAAACTACAGTTCCCATAAACCACAGGGAGTTGTAATGAATGGGGCGGGTACACTAGGCCTGTACATGTTGGATGTGTCTAAGAGTCTGCTCACCACTGCAAGTGGGGCTGAATTACATCACTGCTTTCTGGAGAAAAAACTACAGAAGGAATGTGCCAAGATTGGGGGAATAGGAACAGGGGCGTGTTTACCACAAGGCACTTGCTTAGGGCAACATTTTTCAGGAAGGCAGCACCTTCCCCCAGAAGAAGGGATGAAAGAAGGGACATGTGCTCCATAGGAACCAGGTGGGATCCGAGAGAGGCTGCGGACTGCTTGATGGTGTATGTAGAGCCTGACTCTCCTTCCCGCGGATGTCCGGAGAGGAAGATGAGTGTCTTTTCTCTCTATCGCTGGGTGGGGGGGGGGGGTAGTGGAAGGCCCTCCCAGGTGGGCAGCATGGGGGTTGTTGTTGGTCAATGTCAGGCTTTCTCCACAGGAGGGGGAGGGGGGCTTGTTGGTCGGTGTCCATGGGGGCAGACGATTTTTGTGTTGCCTAGGGCAGCACAAAATTAAATACACCAATGATTAGGAGGCATAGCAATTACTGATCTTACAAACAGGAAACCAAAGAGAATTATCGGTTTGATTTGAAAAGGAATAGGGTATTTCAGAGCAACTACTGAGTGAATAAGAAGGATGTCACATTCAGCGAAGGTAGGAAATCAGCAATAAAGGAGACACATTTAAGGAGATTTTTGCCTGGAGTTCTGCTTTAAGCATGCAAACATTTGGATTTCAGAATTTGAGTACAGTGATGAAAAATACAACACAAAGTGCACTATTTAAAATTGTTTGCCATAGGTATGGTTAATACAGCTAGAATGTGTGCGTTCCCACTGATTGGAGACAACAGACTGTACTATCCATAGGAGAGTGGTTTGAGAGGTTGTACTGCGTCTCAGTACAACCTCTCAGTACAACCTCGGGGGGCTTTTCCTGTGTGGGGACATAGGTGTGCAACACCATTGTACAATTTACTGCTGTTCTAATGTTTGTACCTGGAAAGAGTTCTGTATTTGACCCTGTGTTTGGATAGTTTCTTTTCTGGAAAATTCAATAAACATTGTTATGGAAAAAATTTTTACTAGCCTCTGATAAGCATTGCTAAATATTTAGGAGGTATCTGTTGAGGAAGAATGTAAATTGAGCCTTTTGACACAGATAAAGTTAGGAGTTTTTGGGAAAAATATTAAATTATGAGAACTAAAAGCTTACATAAGTTTAATACCTAATATAATGCAAAAAAAAAAAAATCATAATACTTGCACACCTATGAAATAGTCATATGTTTTCTTGAGAACATTTTTATTTAAATAAATGATTAAATGGTAACAAAGTTAAAATATATAACTTACTGAATTGATGCCAATTACAGTAAATAGAAACCTGGATCAGATACATTTTGATACTGTTTGGTTTCACTGAAATCTACACATCAGATTTAATTAACACTTGCAGTACATATGGCCAAGCACCTATGCTCGCCACACATGCAATTTTGTAAAAAAACAATTACAACTGTCAATTTTCAACAACCCCAAACTGATCTAGGCAACCTACTCCCAACCACTGCTTTCTAAACCATGAAAGAATCAAAATTGTAGGTGGTAGATTGTCCTAATTCATTCTTTTTTGCATTCAAAAACTGGTAGAAATTGATTAATATTGCCAGTAATTGATGTGTGTATGGACTGTATGTAAAGAAAACTGTTATGAGATTTATTTTCTTTCATATTTTTTTATAGCAAATATTTTGCAGGCTTTGGTGTCTGTGATTTTGAAAAAAAAAATGTTGTTCTTATTCTCATTATGTTATAGAAATTGAGGCACTGAAACTGGCTCAGCAGGCTAAAAAGGCTCAAGCTAAGAGAAAAGCTACGCCTGTAGTTGGAGATATGCAGCCACTTGTGGATGCCCTGCCAGAGCTCTCGGAACTCACTACTGTTCGTAAGCCAAAAGCACCAAGGAAGCAGCCAAAAGAGTAAGTACCAAGTAATAAAATGCTTCTCAGTTCATCCTAGCCATAGCTTTTACTAGAAACATTGCAGTTACTAATAAAGTACATGTAAACCCAATATTTTTTTTCCAGTTGCATATAGGCTTTAAAATGTCAATGGCATTTCAAGTAATTCAAAGACATTTGCAATATTTTAAATCTGCAGCTTTAGTTAAAATTATAATTATACCTGGTGATCCTGCCAAAAAGGTCCTAGTTTAGGCCCTTGCAAGCTCTGTCCCTGTCTGCACTGCTGAAATTGGGAAGCTAGAAAATTATTTTTTTACTTCTATGGAGCTGATTAATTAAAAAGCTGTAGACAAGAGCAAAGCCTGGAAGCATGAAGGGCAGCAGGGACAACTGAGTTTTTACAGCAATTTATCTGTTGAAGGATGTCATGAAGGTATGAGTAACATTTACTATACACCAAGGGAACACAAAGTAAATCTAAATGATGCTTTTTGGTTACAAAAGGTGGTAATAGAAAGAATTTAAAGGGGAAGTACAGCAATTCGTTCTGCACTCCTGTGGCCTGTTTTCAGCTGACCGTGGGCTGAAGCCTGCTGTCGGCTGATGTCACCCAGCCGGTCCAGCCTTTTAAGCTTTTAAAAGACTACAATGGAACACAGGTTCACTATAACTAGGTCACTGTCAAGTATAAACCTTCTCCTTGTAAAAGAAGCATCTGTAAGGTCATATTGACCAGATTTTAAGCACATGGCAGTCTAAACAAATTGCAAATATGCAAACTATGCAGGCTTGATTTTCTTCCTCCGTGAGGTATGTGAGAATCACTTCTGTCAACAAATGAAGTTAGAATTTTCCCATCTAATGTGTATTCTGGACATTTTTATTATTTTTGCAAGTGAGACCTACTTTCAGGGACAGGTTACAGATTGTTATATTTGCCCCTTGACAATTTAACCTTGATACAGTTACAGTTGAAGGAACACCTACTTTGTGATTTAATTTTTCTGCTGTTTTAGTTACAAAATTTTTATATTAAGTATATATTAATTATGTGTTCTTGCATAGCAAGACCACTTACTGTTCTCACATATATATTCTTATTATTATAGCTAAATTTACCACCCTAACTCCTCCCACAGTTTTTATACTACATAGACAGTAATATACTGAAACGTGCGGATTGTTCCCGATTGGTGTGCTATTACTTTGTGGAACGTTTTGCCGAATGGTTCACGAAATTTCGGTGTTTTTGTGGTGAAATTGGTCCCATAGGAATGAATGGCGGAATGTTCAAAACTAGAGTGGGAGCTGACAAAAGCTAGAGTGTGAGCTGAAAAATCAGGACATGATTTCTAAACTGCCACCACTCCCTCATTTTCAAGCCCACCTACACAAATCGTATATCAAAACATTCAGCTATCCCTGCTGCCACTAAAAATGTCCACGGCTAAGCCATAGTCCTTATAGTTTTCACAATATGACCATTTGTTTGCAACTCACGCCGCCCATTGACATTCATTGATACTCCACTCTAGCCACCTCAAATTTGAAGGACAATTTCTAAACTACGACTGTGCCTTCATTTTTAATATTTCGGAGACAAACTATGCATCAAAATGTAGGTCTGGGTCTTGTGATTCTGACAATATAAAGCTCTTTGGTGTAGGATTTATAATTTTTAAACTACAACCGTTTGAAGATGGCAACCGCCAGTGAAGTGAGCAAGTTGGAGCAGTTTGTTTTTAACTGCTCTTCTCTGCCCTTGCTGTAGATTGAGTTGCCATAGGAACCCAGGTGTGTGAGCAGGCAGCAGAGTGACAAGCCACTCCACCCAGTTACTCCGCCCACTCCAGTTGTAGACTACTGGTGGAGGCAAGAACACTTCACACAATTTCCCCAGAAATTGTAGATTTTCTAGCATTTATTTATCGAGTTTATATAGCGCCAAAGGGTTTGCTCAGTGCTGTACAACAGAGGGGGGGACAATACATGAAACAGTACAGTAACATCAAACAGCACACAAGGGGTAAGAGGGCCCTACTCTTTCGAGCTTACAATCTAGGAGGGAGGGGGTAGATTTTCTAGCATTATTATAATACAGGTTTTATATAATGCCAACAGTTTGCTCAGCACTTTACAATATAAAAGGAGGCAATACAGCAACGATACAGTTCAATACAAGAGGGTGAGGAGGGCCCTGCTCCTGGGAGATTACGATCTAATAGATATAAAAGTGGATCTGCACTTGAATCTGTAGTAAATCTATAAATTATGTAAAGCTGCTAGCTCATAAATTCTGATACCAAATACAGCATACATATAAATAAAAAATACACGATACACAGATCTTTCTGTTGGGATGTTCACATTTTGCTATGTGTTGGTATTCACTTTGTTTTTATTGTATTTAAGTGTTCTTGCATGGCAAGACCACTTACTGTTATCTCACATATATATTCTTATTATTATAGCCAAATTTACCACCCTAACTCCTCCCACAGTTTTTACACTACATAGACCGTAATATACCAAAACGTGCGGATTGTTCCTGATTGGTGTGCTATTACTTTGTGTAACGTTTCGCCGAATGGTTAACGAAATATCGCCGTTTTTGTGGTGAAATTGGTCCCATAGGAATGAATGGCGGAATGTTCAAAACTAGAGTGGGAGCTGACAAAAGCTAGAGTGTGAGCTGAAAAATCAGGACATGATTTCTAAACTGCCATTACTCCCTCATTTTCAAGCCCACCTACACAAATTGTATATCAAAACGTTCAGCTATCCCTGCTGCCACTAAAAATGTCCACGGCTAAGCCATAGCCCTGATAGTTTTCACAGTATGACCATTTGTTTGCAGCTCACGCCACCCATTGACATTAATTGAAACTCCACTCTAGCCACCTCAAATTTGAAGGACAATTTCTAAACTGCGACTGTGCCTTCATTTTTAATATTTCAGAGACATACTATGCATCAAAATGTAGGTCTGGGTCTTGTAATTCTCACAATATAAAGCTCCTCAGTGTAGGATTTATAATTTTTAAACTACAACCGTTTGAAGATGGCAACCGCCAGTGAAGTGAGCAAGTTGGAGCAGTTTGTTTTTAACCGCTCTTCTCTGCCCTTACTGTAGATTGAGTTGCCATAGGAACCCAGGTGTGTGAGCAGGCAGCAGAGTGACAAAAGCTAGAGTGTGAGCTGAAAAATAAAAGTTGAAATGCATTTCTCACTCTATCAAGCTTGCCATGTGCACTTTTTAAATTTGATCAATCAATTGGTTAGTGTAATGTTTACTATCTTTACTCACTCCAAACACTCCACACAGTTACTCTGCCCACTCCATAAAGTTACTCTGCCCAGTCCAAACTTTTCACAGTTACTCCAGCCACTCCACCCAGTTACTCCGCCAACTCCAGTTGTAGACTACTGGTGGAGGCAAGAACACTTCACACAATTTCCCCAGAAATTGTAGCT